GCTTGCACAGATTGTGCTTGAGCACCTTGAGGCTGAAGATGCCAGGCAGAGTCTCCTGCACTTCCTCGTAGCCTGCGGGCGCGGCAGTCTTGGCGACCTTCGATGATGATGAGGCAGCGTTAGGGTCCAGTGGCACCAGCACTCGCACCACTACGTCATTCATCGTCTATTCTTTGTTTGTTTCGCGTTGAGTAGCTCGTGGCACAGATGGAGAAGTGCGTGGTCGTTGAAGATGAAGGAGAAAATCTGATCAAGTGCCAATTTGCCCTCTGCCTGCGTCTTCGTTTGTTAGGGTCTGTTGGTGGTGGCGAAATTTCAGGAGCTGCATGGCAGCCGGTATATGCCAGGAAAAAAACAATTGGCGCTCTTTTTCCAGTGTCGACAAACAAGACTCGACAACAATCTAATCGTTGCCATTGATCCTCGCAGCGCGATCACTTTGCGGGCCTCCCTAGTTCCAGATCTGCCGGTGCGAGTTGTTTTTCGCACTGCCCCAATTGAGAGTGAATTATTGAATCAGTGTTGTTGATTTAATTAATTAATTAATTAATTCGCAGAGAATGGACGAGAAGAGGAAACAGAGGCAGCCCTCCCCTCGAAGAAGGGCGAAGAAGAACGAGGAGGAGAAGGAAATGGAGGAGAATGAGAATGAGATTGAAGTAAAATCGAGCAAGGGGGCGGGTCGCGAATCGAAATCGAGATCGGCTGCTGCGGCGCAGAGAGGCACGCGAAGCTCGCGATCTAAGTCGCCCTCTCCAGCCGTCGCCGACTCTGATCGAGAAGAGGAAGAGGAGGAAGAAGAGAGCAAATCGACCGCCATCGGCGATTCAGAGGAGGACCAGCGCGAACAGATGAACGCGAGGCGGCGGACGTCGCCGCGGCGTAGCGGCAGGACCCCCTCGCACTCCAAGTCGCCCTCGCCCACCAGGGCGCCCACCGCGCCCCGGAAGGCCAAGGGCGCAGCAGAAGACGCAAACGACGACGACGACGCGGCCGCCGAAGACAAGAAGAAGACGAAGAAGAAGGCGACGAAGACGAAGAAGAAGAAGAAGGAGGAGTCGAGCTCAGGCGAAGATGAAGAAGAGGAGAATGACAAGAAGAAGGCTTCAAAGAAAGAAAAGAAGGACAACAAGAAGAAGGCGAAGAAAGAGGAGGAAGAGGAGAACGCCGACGGAAAAGACGAGGAGCAAGAGGAGAGGAGGAGGAGGAAGAAGGAGGAAGCGAAGAGGAGGAGGAGAAGGTAGAAGGAGAGGAAGGGGAGGGGGAGAAGAAGGTGGGCAAGGGGCCGGCGGAAGGGGCGGCGGCGCGGGAGCACCAACTGGGGCGGGCGCCGGCGCAAGAGGAAGTCCACCGCCACCGCCGCGCCCAACAAGCGGGAGAAGAAGAAGGAGGAGGAGGCGGGCGACGCCATGGACGTGGAGGGCGCGGACGAACAGCAGCAAAACAACGGGAGCGCGCCGAAGCGACGCGGCGGGAGGAGGAAGAAGGCCGAGATGGAGATCGAGGAGGAGGAGGGCGAGAACGAGGAGGGCGAGAACGGTGACGGGAGCGACGGGAGCGCGGGGAGCGAGACGAGCGACGACGACGATCGGATGACGAGCGGGGACGAGGAAGACGAGGAAGACGACGAGGAGGAGGAGGAGGAGCTGGTGCCGATCCGCCTCAGCGTGTTTGTCGATGGGCAGAGCCTCCACGACACCTTCCTGTGGAACATCCACGGTACCACGCGCGCCCTTCACGGCTCGCCGTTTCTTGCATTTCGTAGGAGTCACCACCTAACCTCCCGTGTTGGACACGACACGACACGACACGACACGACACGACACGACACGACACGACACGACACGACACGACACGACCAACGACACGACACGACCAACGACACGACACGCACAGAGTCGACATTGACTCCGAAGGAGTTTGCGCGGAGCTTGTGCATGGAAATGGACCTGCCGCCGGCCTTCGAAACGGTTTTCTCCGCTCTTTACTCCCTCATCTCATCTCTCTCATCTCTCTCTTTGACTAAGCGCCGCCTTAAGGTGCCAGGTGGTGTTGGGCTGACACGAGGCGTGGTGGTGATGGCTGGTGGTGGCTGGGGGAACAACAGGCGGTGGAGACGGCGATCGACAAGCAGCTGACGGCCCACCTGCGGTGGCGGACGGCCTTCCGCGAGGAGAAGATCCGCATCCCCAGCAAGGACGCCCTCATCCTCATCCAGGTACACCTTCCAATTTCATTTCTTCTTCTTTTCTTCTTCTTCTTTCTTGTAATGTTTTGATATGAAGAGTATTACGAGAGTTTTGACCACTGATGATTGGTTGGTGTGTACAGCTGAACATGACCATCAACGAGCAATCGCTGCAAGACCAGTTCGAGTGGGACGTCTCCAACAAGGAAAACAGCCCCGAGGTACGGCCGACGCTCATCGCCATCGTCACCACCACCGTCGCCATCGCCATCGCCATCGCCGCCATCACCATCGCCACCATCACCATCGTCACCACCATCATTTGTGATTAGAAGCCAACAGATCTGATCCCCTTCTCTCTTTTTAACGCGTGCGACAGCTCTTCGCGCAGCAGTTGTGCACCGATCTGGGCCTCACCCGAGAGTTCGAGGTCGCCATCGCCCACTCCATCCGCGAACAAGGTGCCCCTTCCAGCACGCCGCACACCACACACACACCGCCGCACACACCGCACGCATGTCTAACGTTTGGCGGCGCAGTGAATCGGCACCTGCGGAGCTACGTGGAGACGGCGAGCGCGGACGAGGCGCGGGCGCGTGTTAGGCCCGTGGTGAGGTCGGCCGTGCGAGACGGCGAGGAGACCGAGATCTTCACGCCCGTCGTCTCCGCCCCTACCAACCCCTACAAGGTCATCACCGACGCCCACAAGTACGCCTACTACGCCCCTTTCTTGCATTTATATTTATATTTATATTATTATTAGTAATAGAATTTTGTTTTTATGTTTTTATGTTTTTAATTGACATAAAAATATTTTTGGGGGGGCATGTCAGGGATCAGCCGGTGAGTGCGCCTCTGCCACTGTCGCTGCAGGCGCCGCCGACCGCTGTGTCGATGATGGGCCGCGCCTCCTACAGCCCCTACCCCCAGAACCACCACCCCGTACGCGCCCAATCCACTGCTGCTCGTGCCCCCCCCCACCACAATTGAGCGTGTGCGCTGCTGGGTTGCTCACGCCTGTCGTGCCTCTTTGGCCTTTTTTGTACTGCGTACGGCGGCAGCAGCAGCAGCAGCAGGGCGCCATGATGTCGAGCTGGTCGGCAGGCGCAGGTGCGGGCTCGTCCGTCCCCACCGTCACCGTCTCGCGACCGCCCGCCGCGTCCGTGGCTACAACAGGTCCACACCAGACCTATCACCCGCAGCAGCAGCCGCCGCAGGCGGGGTATGCCTACGCCGGCAGCCCGGGTCCAGTCTCACAATACGCTCCGGGCTCTGCCTATGCTGCTGCTGTCTCCTCTTCTTCTTCCGCATCATCATCTTCATCATCGTCGTCGTCGTCTCCCTACGTCTACGGTGGACCCTACGCCTACTCGAGTACTTCCGCTACTTCATCTTCATCTGCCTCCTATGGGTCCTCCTCCGCCTCGTACTCGCCTTCGCCCTCTTTCTTTGCCACCTCATCCGCCTCTCTGTCATCGTCGTCTTCGTCTTCTTCTTCTTCTTCCCACTCTTCTTCCTCTTCTCCCTACACCCCGCGAAGTCATCCGCCATCCTCCGCCATCCCACAACGCCCACCACCCCAGCCTCAGTCCCAGCCCAGTTGAGAAGAAGAACTACGGGAGTGGCTGGTTGTCTTCCACAACAACAACAAGCACTGCATTTTTGGAACACCAACCACCCACTCATCCGTTCTTTTTCTCTATTCTCCTCGTTCGCCCATTGGCTGAGCTTTTACTGTGCAGAGAAGCTCTCTGAACAATTTACCTCTTATTTCTTAAAATCAGATCCAACACAGCCAAGGGCAGCACCATGGAGCAGCCTCTCAGCCCTCATGGGCCTCAGCGCGTAGAGGGCCAGAAAGGCCGACGCCGCCACCGGTCCCGCGGAGGTGCAGGCGACAAAGCGCAGCAGCAGCAGTGGCGATGGACTGGCCTGGAGCAGCGCGAAGTGCTCCTGCGGCTGGTGCCCCCGTGCGTGCGCGACAACGACCGGCGCGAGCTGATGGCCCTCCTCCGCCTCGACGCCGTCCAACGCCGCGAGTCCAACCTTCTCCCTCCCGCGTCTGCGGCTGACATCAGCACCACCTCCACCTCAACTGCCACCTTAACAACAGCCTCTACCATTACGGCCAGCGGTACGGGGCGCAAGCGGGACGAGCTGACGCTGCTCCAGGGCGCCTGCCTGGTGGGCGGCTCCTTGGAAACGGTGGCCACGCTGCTCCTCAACGGGGCCGCGCCGACCTGGCCACGCCGGTGGTGCCCCTGGGCAAGGCCAAGGGCGGGCGCGGCACCCGGGTCATGGGCGGCTACACCCCCTTGCACCTGGCCCTCATCAGCTGCGGCCGGGAACGCAACAAGGTTCGTGTGTTGTTGCTCGTGTCGTGTCGCGTGTGTGTGTGCGTGTGTCGTGTGTCGTGTCACGTCTAATGTACGGGTGCTGATTGGTGGAGCTCGGCAGATTGTGAAGGAACTGCTGATCTACGGTGCCGATGTGAATGTCAAGGACGCTGAGGGCTTCTCCTTCCTGGACCTCACCACTGGCGATGACTCGCCCTTCGCTGCGCTCCACCAGCTCATCGCCCAGGCCGCCAAAGACCCCCGGTACAAGCCAGCTCACCCAGATCTGGCAGCACACACTGCACACGCTGACACACAACCGCACACGCACCACGCACCACGCACCACGCACATATCAAAGGGCCAAGAAGGCGCAAGAGGCCAACAGGCAGCACGCGGAGGTGCGGCGCAAGGCGATGGAGCGGGAGGAGCGGCTGAAGTCCAACGCAGCGGCAGAGCTGGTGGACCCCATCGAAGCGCTGCCGCCCGAGCTGGGCCTCCACATCTTCTCCTTCCTCTCCGTCGCACAGCTCGCTCGCTCGTGCCAGGTCTCCACCCTGTGGCGTTGCATTGCAACTGGTTCTCCCCTCCAACCAATCACGGATGTGCATGTGATGATCACTGGTGTGACCATAGCAAACTAACAGCATAACATGGCAACACAGATCACGACCTGTGGCGTCAGCTCTACGTGACGCAGTTCGGTCCGGTCCCTCCTCAAACCGAGCACAACTTCCAGGCCCTCCTCCAGCGAAGCAGTACGTACCGTGTGCGGCGCGCGCGTGCGGTCGTGCGTGTGCGGCGTGTGCGTGCGCGGTCATGGTCTCTGCAACAAGGCTCATGTCGGTGTGGATTTCCTCAATCAGTGGCGCTGCGGGCCGAGCTTGAAGCCAAGGAGCGGCTGGCGGAGAGGCGCCAGGCCAGGCTCGTGGTGCAGACCGTCCACCACCCGCACTGCAACCACAGACACCACGGCCTGCAGGCCGAGCTGCCCGCCTTTTACGACAACACCCGGGGCGTTGGAGTGGCAGCTCCCTCGTGCTCGCCTTCGACGCCAGCACGAAACTGCTCCGGGTCACCCCCTGCGGCTACTATATGGTCAACAACTGCCTCAACTCCCGTACGCACCAACTGCGAGTGTGCGTGTGCGTGTGCTGTGCCGTGTGGTGTGCGTGTTGCGTGTGTGCGTGTGCGTGTGCGTCGTGAGTGCTAACGGGTGGGTGTGCAGCGACGGTGAGGGTGACGCACAGCGCACACGAGTGCAAGGTGCAGTGTAAGAACGTGTCGGGCCGGCGCACGACATACTCGCTCAAGGTGGGCGACAAGCTGACCGTGCTGCACCACGCGCCGCAAAGCGGGGTGTGCAAGGTGTACTTCTTCAGCCTCACCCTCAGCCCGTACGACGACCACCTCAAGCCGCCCGCACTCCACCACTATTGTAACCGCTGAGCCATTTCCACGGCCATGCCTTTTATCATTAGCATTCTTCCTTTTGCACAAGTCCAACCAACCCCTTACGACGAGATGGTGGCGTCGATCTTGTAGCAGGCCAGGCGGCTGCCGGACTTGTCGGCGAGCGTGACGCTAACAAGGATTTCGCCCTGTGTGGATTGGGTTGGGTGAGTGAGTGAGTTGCAGTTCACTAGTGAAACAGTGTAAACACTGTAAAAAATTGCGTCAGGCGAAGTACGTCGAGGAGCCACGAGATGCCGAGGTTGGGGAACGGGAAGGAAAAGCCGGGGACCGGGACCTGGTAGGAGCCGGCAGCCAGAGGGCAGGAGCAGGGCACTCCCCTGTGGTGTGCGACATTCCAGGAATGTGAGCGCTTGCCCAGACTACAACTACTCATCGTAGATAGGAGCAGGAGAGTGGAAGGAGGAGTACCAGGGCTGGAGGGGGCAGTTGGCGGTCGGGGGCAGGATGCCGCACAGGTCGTAGGTGCAGCTGCCGACGTTGGATACGCAGGGAACGTAAATAGGAACCTGAATGTGTGTGTGCCACCGTACGCAAGTTCTTAGTAAACTGTCATTTTGATTTCCAGTACAAGGGGGCGCATCATTAAAATCACAGGGAAGGCTGCGACGTACGCCGAACACTTTCTTGTAGATTTCGAGCGACATGGTGTAGCCCTCGCCGCTGCTGATGTTGGCGCCTGACATCCAACAACAGTGAGAAAAACTAAAGAAAAGAAAAGAAAAGAAAAGAAAAGAAAGAAACACGAGAGAGGCAAGGACGCACTGAGGAAGCCCTTGGCGGTGATGTTCACGGCTTGGCCGACCATGATGGGGTCGGGCGAGATGTTGAGCTGCGTCAGCTTCGAGGGATCGCTCTCCGAGCCTTTGAGGTGAATGAAGAAATGGAGGTGAATGGAAGAATAGAAGACGGCGCTGAAGAAAGTAGCAAGGGAGCAGGAAGGGGAGAGTACCGCAGTTCGTGTAGGAGAAGGCGGTGAGCTTGGCCTTGTCTAGGGTCTGCGGCTGGGCGAGAAGCTGCTCGAGGGTGAACTTCTCCTCCTCCGAGGAAGTGGCGGTGACCACGATAGCGCAGAGAGCGAGCACAAAAACGCTGATGTAGAGGAGCTTGTTCATCTTTGTCTTGACGATTTTGTCTCTACACTGTTTGTTCGGTCACTTCGCGAAAACGAAAAGCTCAATTTGTCCTAAAAAGGGAATCTTCTTTTCGTTCTTTTTCTTTTTTTCCCAACGTTTCGTTCTTTCTTTTTCCTCCAAGAGGTCGTTGGTTCAGCCAAACGACGAAGAGTCCCACAAGGGGGAGGAGAAGGGCAGAGTTGAAGTAGTCAGGTGGAGGACCAGGTTCAGTACAAGAATCAACCCTTAGTAGCAAGAGCGAACAGGTTCACAGTTTACACCTCTGAAAGAGGTGGCCTGCTCGTTCCTCTATTCCGAGGAGCTGAGCGGTTCCCAACCAACCCAATAACAAATCATCAACATCATAAACTCAACATAATACAACACTCGCAAGTCTTGCAAGCTTCAATCTTCGCCTGTGATGCTTGGAGAAGATTGATGAACTAGTGTGTGTTCGCTGCACAGCAATGTCCCATAACTTATGCAAGGGCGAAGGGGTACATGTAGGCAGGGGAGGGATCGTGTTCAGTACTATAAACAACTCGGACATCGTTTAGATCGAAGAGTTCAAAGTCTCAAGTCCTGAAAGGACTTGCCGATGCTGCTCTGTATTCCCAGAAGCAGTTCGGTTCCCACTAATCAACAACAAATCTCTCATCTTCCTGCCTCGAGGGGTAGCACCTGCTAAAGACAGCAAGGAGGTGCATCTTGAAAATTGACAACAACGAGTTTAGATTCCAGGAAAGAGAATCTTTTACTGGAGCAAGGAGCAAAGCGATTCAGAAGCAACATCAATCATGGCCGCAACAGCGCGCAGAGGACTGTGGGGCGGCTACCTCATCGCGTTGGAACGGCAGCCGCTCCTTACCAAGGCCGCTTCAGCGGGTATTCTAATGGGCGTGGGCGACGTGCTGGCGCAAACGATCGAAGGGCGTAGCACAATCTCCACATCCGTGAGTGGCACAGATGCCATTCAGACATCTCCTGCTGCTGCAACAACGTCGACTCCGGCCATGGGTGGCTTTGATTGGAAGCGAACGGGGCGATTGATGGCCTACGGATTCCTCGCCTCTGGTCCGTCTTCCATTCGATCTATCATTGTGCAGATGTCTTTTTTAGATTTATTTATTTATTTATTCATTCAGTCATTTATTGTGTTGTTGTGCGTAGGGCCGATGATGCACGGGTGGTACAAGGCGTTGGACGCCGCGATCCCGTCGGCCAGCTTCAAGGCCTCGATCGTGAAGCTGTGCCTTGACCAGTCCATCGCTGCACCCACTCTCATCGCCTCCTTCTTCGTCGTTGTCGGGGTACTACGCCCACTCTTTCTACGTGGCCCGCCGCTTCTACTTCCATCAACTCCCCACGCTACGTGAACGCCAACGCTCGTGTGTCGTGTGTCGTGTCGTGTGTATCGTGTGTCGTGTGTCGTGTGTGTCGTGTCGTGTCGTGTGTGTGTCTCGTGTGTGTGGGAATGAAGGCTATGGAGGGGAAGAGCAGGGCCGAGCTGGAGGAGAAGATGCGACGGGACTACCTGGCCACCATGAAGGTCAACTGGAGCGTGTGGCCGCTCATCTCCTTCATCAACTTCCGCTTCATCCCTCCCGCCCAGCGGTACTTCCCACCCACAGCGGGCCTTCTCGTTGACTTGTGGTGCATGAGTAGTTGCAGATCCGCTGGCCTACACCACACGACACATGCGTGATGTCGTTCATGCATAACACACAACAAACACACAACAACTTCTCTCTGTCAGAGTGCTGTACGTGAGCTGCGTGAGCGTGTTGTGGAATGCGTACCTCTCTTGGGTCAATGCTCGGTGATGGCCCTCACTTTGGCTTCGTCACACTTCCTTCTTTTCGTCGTTCACGCGTGTAAACAAGCAACGGTCATGATGTGATGTGATGTGGTGTGAATAAACTTGAATATTGTGTAAATACGTTGTGCCCGTCATGTTCTGTCCACCAACAGATATCTGCTGTGAACGTTGACCAAGGGTCGGGAGGGGGGGGAAGGTTCACGACTTGCGCGAAGGTCGGTTGCGGGAGGCCTCCGAGGCGTAGCGGAGCAGGGCGGCGGCCTGCTCGCTCTTCATGCGGACCTCCTCGACGTCGCCGGACTGCTTCGGGGGCGACCGGTGCCACCTCCGCTCCTGGCGCGCCACCTCGCTCTCCCACTTGCTTAGTGCCTTCGGGTTGAGCTCGTAGGGAATCGTGCCGGCCGTGTTCATTCTCTTCAGTTCTCTTGTACGCCTCGGCTGTGGTGGGTGTGGGATGGTGTTGTGTTTGGCCTCTTTGACGGCCGATGCCAGGTGGGGATGGGGTATCTAGGATTGGTGGTTGGAAACTCCTCGGCTGCAACCACCATCGGCTCGACACTGCAGGTGTCGCTGCACCGATGAGCCACAGCGTGTTCCGGCCTCACCCGAGTGGTGTAAACCCAGGTGGGCTTTTGTGCTGGGCTACCGCTGACGTCACCCAGCCACCTTACGATGCAGTCAAACAAAAATCCTCTTGTATTTCAGGAATGTCGCTCAGCCCGGAGCAGCCAGACGGCGCAGTGGTGTCTTCGCTCCGGCGGAGAAAGAGTGGAGACGAAGGAAGGAGGAGGAGAAGCGGAGGAGTACTGGTCGATGGCCAGCAACTGGCGCTGCATGCGAGACCAGTGCTCTTCCGGGTCGGCCACGCTCTGGCGCTGCTGCCACCACAGTCTCCTCCGGCCGCCCCGGCGTCGGGTGTCGTCCTCCAGTTGGCGCTTCTCGAGGGCCTCCCACCTCTGCAGGGCCTCCGGGTCGTACATTATGGCGGTCGTCGTCGTCGTTGTCGTTGAGCTCGTGGCCATTGTTGTCATGGTGGGCAAAGATGTGTTGTGTGCTGCTGTGAGTTGTGGAAGTGTAAGAGGGCAAAGTGAAAGAGAAAGCTCGGCTCCTTTGGTGGTGGACCGTGTGCTAGCACGATCAGCACTACGCATTAGCCCGGAGCGGTGATTGGGGGAATCGGAATGGAGCGCGGACAAGTCCTCCAATCCTGGACTGACAGTGCACTTGTTCCGGCCATATATCAGATCGAATCCACCGTTCCACCACACCGTGTTCACCCGCCACCTTAACCTATGAGCCTTCTTGATTTTTATCACTTTTTTCTATTTATCTATTTATTTCCATTTACAGTTCTTCTTGTTACGACTCTCGTTCGGCCTGGCCCGGGGAGTTGGTCAAGTAGATGGCGAGGGCGAAGGCCTGTTGCTGCTTCATCACCTCGTGCTCGTCGGAGTCAAACCATCGGTACTGCCACCACCTCCGCCCAAGCCTGGCTCCACCGCCACCGGCCTCTTCATGCTGGCGCCGTCGGAGTTGTTGCTCCTGTCGTGGGGCGACGTGCTGGGGCAGGTGTGGCCGGCGCGGCTCGGCCGTCGCCATGTACGCCCCCAACGCTTCCCACCTCTGGACGGCGGCCGGGTCGTAGCTGATGATGTGCGCTGTGGTCGTCGCCGACATGTTGTGTGCCGTGTGAGTATGTGATGTGAGTGTGCTTTGCGGGAAATGTATGTGCTGGTGCCGCACCGACAGCGGAAGCAGCGTTGGTTGGCGGGGACAAAACCCGCGCCTATAGGGAATTTGTGTTGCTATGTCCGAACTCCGGCATATACGCCGTGTTAATGCCCGTTGGGTTACCAGGGAACTCAACGATCCCTGGATACTCGCTTGTAACAACCCCGCCAGGGAACCTCTCGCGCCAGGCAACCAATTCCCTATGCTACCACGAGGTACATGATTACTTACGCGAATGTTGTTAACTGATCTTGTATGCTGATACGTTTGATAGGTAGGAATGAACTGAAGAGGAGTGGTGGGTGGGTGGAAGAACGCTTCTTCCACATCAGTGGTGCAGAGGTGGTGGAGAATAGAGGCGAGTGAGTGTTGTCGTTGTTGCCATCAGGAGCGCCTCTCGACGCGTGCGGTGCGGTCGGTGGGCACGTAGTACGGGGGCCGTGGGGCCGTGGCGGCCTTGTAGGCGTTGAGGGCCGCCAGCTGGAGGGCCTTCATGCGCACCTCCTCCCGATCGCCCGCCTGCTTGGGCGCGCTGATGCGCCACGCGAACTGGCCACCGCCATCGGCGCTCCGCCGCTTGGCCTCCCATCGCTGCAGCACCTTCTCGTTGACCTCGTAGCCCCTCCTGGCCGCGATGTTGGCCGCTTCGTTGGTGTTGGCGCTGTAGTCTGCCGAGCTGTTGTCGGTGTGTTGGCTGTTGTTGTCGGCGGCGGTGGTGGTGGGGTGGTTGAAGTTGCCGGTCATTTTGGAGGTATGTCGGTGGTGCAGACTGAGGGTTGGGTTGTATGTTTGTGGTGCGGTTGGTTGTTGTGAAGATGATGATGCCAACTGGCTTTTTGAATTGGCGGTGTCGGCGGGGTGACAAGGGACGACGGTGTCTCGCGCTCGGGTGTCTCTTTCCGCGTGAACCGAAAAGGAAAGCCGGAAAATAACAAGGTCATGACCTTGTCGACTTATTTAAAGAATTTGTAAGGTCCAATCGCCCGACATGATTCAAATTTATGCGATACAAAGTTGCTTCTTTGGAGGTTACCATGCAGACGCGAGTGGCCGTGGTTACAGGGGATGATGTGGTAACCTCACTTCTGCATATGCGATTTTCGATCGCACGTTACGATCTGATGGTTGCGCTTCTTCGCATCATGTATTTACAACTGTTTCGAATAAATACCACACAAATAAATAACAAATAACAAAGGAAAAGCTGTCCTTTCTCTCTCTCACGTGGTGGTGTCGGCCGGGAGCTGCGACGCCGCGAGCACGCAGTTTGCATTTCGGCGCTAGCCAACTGGCGCTTCTTCTTGCGTTGCTTCACCTTGTACACCACGTAGGCCGGACCCGCCCTGGTGGTACCACACACGTATGTGGCCACAACACACCAACCGTGGACATGAGCGTTGGTTGGCGAGCACAACACACCAACGCTGTTGAAGCGAAAGTGAAGGTTGAAGTGAAGATCGTTGTGTTGTGTTGTGTTGTTGGTTACGTACCAGACGGGCAGGGTGAGGACCAGGACGGCGATGATGGTGTAGACGGTCGCCTTCAGCCACTTGGCCTCCCCGTCCTTGCCTGCACGCGCGTCGGAGTCAAGACTGCGTGCCGAGGCGTGGAGGAGAGTGATCGATAACGTGCCTTTGCAGGGTCCCTTTTGCGAGAAGTGGCCGGGCGTCATGACCTGCCCGCACAGCCAGCAGAACGCGCAGCCGCAGCTGTGGCACATACATACAGGGGAATGCGTGAGCGAAACAGCGGACGTGATAGCACCAGGAGTGTGTCTCGTGTGCGTGTGTGTGTGTGTGTGTGTCGTGTGTAAGCGTACAAGAAGCAGGTCATGGTGTTGCAGCCCTTGTTTTTCTCGATGGGCACTGCACACCGAGGACAGATCCGCACGTCGTCCACGTTCTTCTTCGCGTAGTCCTCCACACTATATCCGCGCCACATCAGCATCGTGTCCCTCATCCACTACCCCCACCCCAAACTCGCCCAAGGACCTGCCGGGGAGGGCGCGCGCGCGTACGAGGTGTCGGCCAGGCCCAGCCGGACCTTGCGGTCCCGATTCCCCTGACAGCTGAGGCCCTCGTGCCACTGAGCGTTGACGTGTAACAAAACAATAAATCAATAAATCAATAAAGAAATAAAACAACAAGAAAAATGAACGAAAAGGAAAGGAACCAGTCGCAATGGGATGGTGGGGCGTGATTGGGGGGGGGGGCGAACCTCATCGCCGCAGAGGAAGCAGGTGACGGTCTCGCAGCCGGAGCACACCACCTTCTGGTCGACCGCGTCGTCTTGTCGAGTGAGCACCGTCTCGCAGCCTTCGCGACGTTCGATGGACGATCAGATACGCACACGCACCACCGCACACCACCGCACACCACCGCACACGCACACGCACGCACCACCGCACACGCACACGCATGACACGGGGAGGTGTGGACCTGGCTTGGTGCACCATCGCGTGTTGGGGTTGGACTTGACCTGGTCGAACCACGCGAATTGGTTGTACTTTTGGACCAGCGCGGCGTCGGTGACCACGGCGGTGATCTGCATCGGCAGCACCACGGTCGTGCAGTTCGGGTAGGGACAGCGCAGCTTGACGTCGCCCTCCTTGATGTGCGTCGCGTAGTACTCCCGCAAGCACTACATTGAGCACGTGTGCGTACGCAGAGACATGAGATATGGAGAGATGGAGATATGGAGCACACAACGTTGGCACACACAGCGACACACGGCGAACGAGGGTCAACGACGTACTTCGGTGCAGTAGCGATGGTCGCACTGGAAGTAGGTGTATATCTCCGATGGTGGCTTCTCATCGCAGCAAATGGCGCATTCGATCGGCTCTGCACACAGATGGCGCACGCGGTAAGCGCACGACCCACACGACCCACACGACCCACACGACACACACGACACACACGACACACAGGTGTCTGATGCCTGCACATGCCATGCATACCAGAGTTGTCGGCGGAAGCGGCCGGCAGCGGAACGTCGCTCTGCACCAGCTGCTTCAACAGCTCTGCACACGATTTCGCGACGATCGATGGTGACATGTAAGCCCAAAGTATTGTGTGTGTGTGTGTGTGTGTGTGTGTGTGTGTGTGTGTGTGTGTGTGAGTGTGTGTGTGTGTGTGTGCGCGCGCGCGCGATCGAGCGAGACCGACGCACCATCGTCCACGAAGCCGCCGTCCTCGCGCAGGAACTGGATCTGCAGCTGCCGCGCCATCGCCTCGTCGCGGCGCATCTGCTCGGCCTTCTCCTTCTCCTTTTCCTTCTCCTCCTCCGCCTCGCCTTCGTCCGCGTCGGGCTCCGCCTCTGCGTCCTTGGCCTTGCCGTGGTCGTCGTGGTCGTCGTCCGCCTCTGCCTCTGCCTCCTTGGCCTTGCCCAGGCCTTGGTCGTGGAATGCAGAAGACGCGCTACGTAGCAGGAGCGCCGATGCGCCCCGCCCGAGCTGCGCGTAGAACAGGTCGTCGTCGCCGGCGTGGGTGCTGTCTCGTCGACGTTGCGTGTTCTGGCCATGCAAGCTGCCTAAGATCTCCTCGCCTCGCTCCTTGAGGGCAGTAGTGCGCGGCGGCTCCATTTCCATGTCCTTTGGTTGGTACGTGCCCGACGAACGTTCGTCGAAGGGATGAATTTGATTCGATTTGTTATCAAGTTGTAAAATCGAATTCAATTCGCGCCACTTCGCTCAGGAGCTTATTGTGTGTAGGGGTTGCAACAAAATCAATTAGCAATGGATAGATGAAAAAAATGGCAAAAGAGCATATCAACCTGCTCACCTGCTCGGTGGATCTAGGAGTTGCGCAAGAGAGTTGGTGCTCTTCGCGAGTTGCGACCCGTGCGCACACGGAGTGCCGCCTCGTGTCCGTCGCAGAGCACCACAAAAAAATGGTCCGCAATTCGAAGAATGCAGAGAGTTGTAGGAAAATATGAAAAAATACAATTTTTTTGAAGAAGAAAAGAAAAGCGCGAACAACCTTCCGAGCGGTTGATGTGGCGAGGATGAGTTTCGTGGACTTGACGCAGGAGGACGACCTGCTGGTGGAGGACCTGACTGACGTTGGTTTGGGCCAACATTCCGCCACAACAACATGCTCGAGTTCATCGACCAGCAAAAGGAGTATCATGCACGAAGTGGAAGAGGATGATAGCTTCCTGCTCGCATCCATCGAGGGCATCAGTGGTCCGCACCACTTGTCCAGCCGCACCACTTCTTCTTCTTCTTCTCCCACCTCCATTTCGACCTCTGCCAACAACGCGATTGAGAACCATCGCGATTTTACATCATCCTCAACAAAACGCAAGCGTCTGTTGGGTGAAGAAGAAGGCGAAGCTGCAGAGGAGACGGATGAGCGAAGGAGCAACAAGAAGGGAAAGGAAAAGACATCCAAAGCGGCAAAGACAAAGGCCAACAGCAACAACGTTGAACAGAAGAAAGGGAAGGAGGAGAAGAAGAAGCGGACCAAGAAGACGGCGCCGGAGGAGGACCTGCTGGTGCTCATTGACGACCACCTCGTCAACGAGAAGGGCGGCACCGAGTACACCTCCGTGTGCCAACGGCCCGACAAAGACAAGCCGTACTCCTCCCACCATGCGTCTCTCGCGCGGTGTGCTGCGTGTTGTGTCGTGCGTGTGTCATAGCACACGACTCATGAATTTGATGAATGTGTTGTGTTTGGTGTGCGATGGGCAGGCCAGTGCAGTACGAGGTGCGTGCGCTGCCCATCCGCAACTCGATCGAATGGCGCACGTCCTTCGGCGTCGATGACGACGACGACGGCGACGACGATGGCGATGACGACGACCAAGAGCAGGACTACACGCGGCGCGCGCGGAGGCGGCGGGAGGTGGGCCAGGTGCTGGTGCGGTACTCGGGGGCCGAGTTTGGGCGGCTGGTGCGCGATCGGGGCCTGCGGGACGAGGTGCGCAAGATCCGGGCCGTACACGGCGACAAGGTCCTCACCATCGTCATCGAGGGCCTCCACAGCTTCCTTGCCCAGGAGACCCGACGCACTAACCGCGCGCGTAAAGGTAACCGTACACGCACCACCGCACACGCACACGCACCACCGCACACGCACCACCGCACACGAACACGCACGAGTATAACTCTTGATGCGATGCAGATGGAGCGTCACGGGAGAATGAGAACGACGGGGACACGTCATCGGAGAGCTACAGCGATGGCAGCGACGAGGAGACTACGAGGTGCAGAGGAGGCAGAACAAACAACGGCAAAACCGGCGACGGGGCCGGGCGGCGAGTGACCCCGTCGTTGGTGGACGAGGCCGTCGTCTGGCTTCAGATCGAAGGCACGTGCACGTCCGGCGCTTTCTGTCGATCTTGGTGCGAGTCGCACACATCCTAACGCACGCACGCACGCACCACCGCACACGCACGCGCACACGGCGCGATCAACGCAGCCAAGTGTCATGTACGGAGGACGGACGGACCGCCGGAGTCGGCCGGCTACATGTATCGCTTGACCTCGGCCATCGCCAACGCGCCCTATCGGTGCGGCTTGCCTACCACCACCACTCCTTGTTTTATTTATAAATTTACATTCTCTTTTTTGCACTTTCGTTTATTTATTATCATTTTTTATTTCTTCGAGTGTGCAGGCAGGAGAGTTCGTTCGCTACGTTTTGCGCAGAGGCGACGGGCAAGCGATCGGCGCGCACCAGCACGCCGCAGGAGACCTGGATCAGGCAGCTTCAGCAGATCAACAAAGTAATGACCACCGCTCGTCCCGTGATCATCTGGCGCGACTGACATATCGCACTGGTGTTGTGTGCGTGCGTGCGTGCATGCGTGTGTGCGTGTGTGTCGTGTGCGGCAGGTGTCGGTGGGCGTAGCCATGGCGATCGCCGATAAATACCCCACATTCCGCTCGCTCATGTCGGCTTACCAGAACGACAGCCTCAAAGAGCAAGACAAGGTACTGTCGACGTGCTGGACACGCGTATTTCATCATCTCTGAATCTCATCATTACCCCCTCCCCCTCCCCCAAACACGCAACGCAACGCAACGCAACGCAACACCGGCAACACCTACGGCACAACAGGAGTTGCTGTTGCAGGACATCAAGGTCGGGTCGGCGACAACGAGCAAGGATCGGCGCGTGGGGCCGGCCCTTTCCAAAAGAATTTACCTCGTATTCACAGATGAAGACGGCTCGCAGAAGGTCAACTAATTGACGATCATGCAACGCGTCTCGTTTAGGCCTCCTATCGCTACTACTACTAATCACCACGGCCACACCGGGCTCAGCTGGAACAAGCAATTGGTGTGTGTGATCAGTGTGTGCGATCAGTGGGTGAGCGGACGAGATGACACACGTGACACAAGTCGACAGAGCTTTCCACAAAACGCTCGCAACCCTGTTCCGCGTGGTCATCACAACAATCACACAAAACCTCATTCGCGCGAGTTCAATTCCACTTCACAGGTGCCTGCCTCTTTCTTTTCTTCAAGAATGGCTCATTAATTCGTTCCATCTACCCCTCCATGGTTTCGAGGTGGCTCGATTAAATCAATCAATTCATTCACGGCGAAGATTAGATTAAATTCGCGCATTGATTTTGGCTTGATATATAATATATCCCCCCCAAGCAAAACAAATTCACACGTTATTCATTTATCAATTAAATAAATGGACTTTTATTTTGCGGTTTATGTAGACGGATGGCACGGCTACGTCGAACGTGCGTGTGTTCGAGGAACCAAACGCTTCTGGCGATGGTGGTGCTCGTGATGGTGGCGCTGGTCAACGCGGCGACCGATGTCACCATCCATGGCGCGGGCGCCACCCTCCCCCAGACCATTCTCGCCACCGGTACGCACCCGGAACGCACACTGGCGCGTGTGCGGTGTGAACGCTAAACCTCGTCGTGTGTGTTGCGTGTCGTGTCGTGTTGTCGTGTCGTATCCCAGGCACGGCAACGAACCCGTCGTGGATCAGCTCCTTCCAGACGATCACCAACAACCGGGTCACAGTCGTCTACAACGGCACTGGTACAAAGAACAGCAAACCAACCGTGTGATTCACATGACACGCACTCACACGGCACACGTGCACCACCGCACGCACACAGGGTCGGACATTGGTGACAAGTTGCTGCTGGCCGAGCACCCGATCGACTTCGCCATTTCGGACGCGCCGCTGAGCGACCTCGAGGTGGCCGCCCTCAAGTCGCCCATCCTCCACCTCCCGATCACCCTCACCGCGCTCGAGTTCGTCTACAACCTGCCCACCGACCAGATCAGGCACCAACCCCCCGTTTTCTTTATTTATTTCTTCTTTATTTATTTACCTTTTCCTATCAATTTTAACGGTACACGACACGACACGACACGACACGACACGACACGCACACATGATGTAACGACGTTCAGCGGTCCGCTCAATCTGACGGCGGACGTGGTGGCCCGAATCTTCACGCGCCAGATCGTGAACTGGAACGACCCGGCCATTCTCCAGTCCAACACGCACCTCACCTACGCCGGCCCAATCTTCGTACCCCTCCACCACGCTCGCTTCGCTCTTTTTCCCCCGCATTCTTTCGATTCCTCTGACCGGGGGGGGGTGTACACAGCCCGTGGTGCGGACGGACGGGTCGGGCTCCACGTTCGTGCTCTCCCAGTACCTGGCCACCGGCTCCTCCTACTGGCCCTACGGTACGCACGCACACGCACAAACCGCACACGCACAAACCGCACACGCACTGAACGTTGCCGGGGTCGGTGACAGGTTCGTCGCAGCGGTTGCCCTGGCCGACGGGCGTGACGTCCGCCCTCTACAGCTCGGGCATGGCCACCGCCGTCAAGGCCACCGTCGGCACCATCGGCTACGCCCGCTGGGGCGTTGCCACCGAATCCGGGTACCCGCCTCTCTTTCCCTCGTGTGCCGTGTGCCGTGTGCCGTGTGCCGTGTGCCGTGGTGCGTGCGGGCTTTTGCCCAAATGGTTGACTGATGTCGTCGTCGTCGGGTGAACGCAGGCTGCAGGCGGCGATGGTGAAGAACAGCGCGGGCTATTGGACGCACCCCACGCAGGAGTCGGTGTTGGCCGCCTGCATGGACCACTCCCCGGACTTCGGCGGATTCGGTCTGCCCGGCGCTGGCGACAGCTGGGAGAGCTTCTCCCTCGTCAACGAAGGCGGTGCGTCTCTGCCACTGACGCCGTGTGCGAGTCTTGGCCGTGTGTGCCGCGCGCGTCGTGTGTGTCGTGTGTCGTGTGCGTGTCGTGTGCTGAGGGTGATCGTGCGGGCAGGACACTCGACGTACCCGCTGGTTACGTTCTCCTATGCGCTGGTCTACCGCAACATGGGCGGGATGGGCGACCGCGGCGCCGCCGTGGCCAACCTCCTCAAGTACATCAACATGGTACGTACACACAACACACGCCGCACGCACCGCACGCACCGCACACGCACACACCGCACGCACGTACATGTAAGCTGACAGCTCGTGGTGGTGATGATTATCCGGCACGCAACTGTAGCCGTCGACGCAGGCGGTGGCGCCTAGCTTCCACTTTGTGCCGCTGCCGCTGTTCGTGCTGCAGGAGAACGAGAAGACCATGCAGACCCTCGATCTCGGCCTCGGCTACTCCTTCTACGACTACTACAAGTACCACACCACTCGCTTTCCACCTTTCATGTTGTGATCATGTCGTGTTGCGTGTGTCGTGTCGTGCCGCGTGTGTCATGTGTGGTGAGTGCGGTGGCTGACTGACATTGGTTGGGTAATAGTCCGCACGTGCCCAAGGGGGGCAACCGTACGGCGGGCATCTTGAGCCTGGTGCTGTCGCTGCTCATCATCTTCGGCCTCCTGGCCCTCATCGCCAAGGAGATCCACGCCCACTTCGGCCAGGACCGTGCCCGAGGCGTCTACTGAAGAAAAGAAATTATTTCTTTTTTGGTTTTCTTCCGTTCGAACCTTGAAATAAAACGTGAAGATGGAAGACGGAGAGGATGGGGGCGAGCGAGATGAAATGGCGTGGCCAGCACTCGGCGATCTTCAGCAAGCGGAAGAGGAGCGCCCCTTTGAAATCGAAAGGCGTTTCTTGATCGAGGAAATCACCAAGGTGCCGCTACATCGCTGTTTTACTTTTTAATTTAAATGGAACAGATGATCAATTTATATTATAATATAATATAATGCAGGGAGTGCAGCAGCTGGTGAAGAACATGAGTGCCCTCAACGCCAACATGGAGGCGCTGGCGCAGGGCGGCGAGGAGATCGCGCACTTCTCCCGCGCCTTTCGCCGCTTCTACGCGCAGGTGGCCGCCACGGTCCCTGTCGCCATCGCCGCGGCCTCGGCCTCGGGCTCCTCGCCGGCCCTGGACGACACCGACCTCGGCCAGGTCTCCATGGAGGCCACGGGCACTGAGGACCTCAGCCAGTCCCAGTGAGTGGTGTTGGTGGCCCACCACCCACCCAGAAGCAACCGCCCAGCCGCTGGTCACCAGCCCACACGCGCTACACATCCGCTCGCGCCTCATGTGTGCCCGCACCACCACTGGCCAGCAACCACAGCCTCCACCGGCGGTGGTGCATTCAAGACACCACATGAAGGTGAGTGTTCACCCCATCTGCTGCAAGGCCTTGTGCCCTGGTCACGAGAGCTATTGAGGCCTGCTTGAGGTGCTGGAGGGGCCGCAGGCAAAAATAAATGAATTATATTTTCTTTATTTTTCTTTATTTTTCTTTCACCACTTCTTCCAGACAACACCCCTTTTCTGGATATATAGATTGAACAACAGGCATGGGGTCTTCGCTTCGACGTGCATCAGTGGAGGACCAGCTGACCGGTGACATGTCCCTCCCCGTGCCAACAACAAAATAACGTTTCGAACACCAAAGGTTGGAAAGTCTGACGCGCATTGGGGGATGTAGAGCTGCCCGACGAGATTCTGCTGGGCCTGCTCGCGTGGCTCGGTCCGCGCGACCTGCTGGCCTGCGGCGCCACAAACCAGCGACTGCGCGGACTCGCCCTCGACAACTCCTTCTGGAGGTCAGTCCCCCACTCCCATCAAGCTTTTGGTGGCACATACTCACACGTCGCACACCACCGCCGCACGACACACACGCAGCGCACGACGTGCACGATACACAGGAAGGCGTGTGAGGATCTGGATGGGTCCAGCAGTGCGGGTCCCGCTACGCAAGGCAACGAGGTCGTGTGGTGGCGCGAGTACTTTGAGATCAAGCGCTCCAGTTTCTTGCGTACCACCTTCTCTCCCCCTTGTTACCACAATCGACCGTTCGTGCGTGCGTGTCGTGCGTGTCGTGCGTGTCGTGCGGTGGTGTACCGTTCACATCCCTCGTGGTGTGTGGGGGTGTGTGTGTTCTCGCAGAGCGTCACTACAGTGTGGGCTTGGGGCCGTCAAAAAAGGAACACCGTCTGCTCGCAGACACCCTGGTCTGTCACCCCCTCTACAGATGATGGTCTGACGATTAGCAATTCGTTAACACTCACGCACATGCACACGACACGACACACGACAGGAGGAGCTGGTGCTGGCCTCAGACCATCACATCGTCCTCGTTCCCCACTCCGACACACCCCCGTGCGTCTCTCCCTTGTCTCAGCCCCCCTCTCACAACTTGACCTCACGCGTGCGTTGGTGCGTGCGCGGTGGTGCGTGTGCGTGTGCGGTGGTGCGTGTGCGTTCTACAGCACGCGTCAGGAGCAGTTGCGGCAGATCCCGGTGGCTGAGGGGATCAGGGACGTGGTGTACAGCGAGGGCGCCATACTGTGCCTCACCGCACAGGACAAGCTGAACGTCTACGACCTGGCCTCGCTTGCCCTGCTCAAGGTTGTTGCATACACGGCACACACGCTACACGACACACACACACGACACACACACACACACAACACACGACACACACGACACACACGATGCGAGTTACACATTAACAAAGTCGCATTAGACGATGGACGGAGTGGCTGCCATGTGCTGCGACTCCCTTCACCTGGCACTCTGGTCCAATCACCCGTGCGGCTCCCTTCACCTCTTTTCTGATTCGCTCAGGCCGCCCCACCTGACCACACACCGCACACGCCACTCGTCACACACATCACACGACACACGACACACACGACACACACGACACGACACGCACGACACGCACACGACACGCACGGCACGCAAATGGGTGGAGCAGCAAGGGGATGCTGGCGGTCTATGACCGGAGCCGCGGGTGGGACGCGCCGCCCAAGTGGACCAAGGTCATGGGCAACAAGTACTCGGCCCCGCCCAGCCTCGCCCTCGATCCTTCGTCCCACCACGTCGATGGCGGTACACGACACGACACGCACCGCACACGACACACGCCGCACACGGGGGTACTCACGAGAAACACACACATGGCACACGGCACAGGGGTGTTGGTGGTGTTTTCGGCGAGTTGGCAGGTGTATCGCCTGGCAGACGGGGTCGGGCTGGGTCCCGCGTTCAAGCTGCCCGCGCCGTCGGCGGCGGCGACGCCTTTGAATCATCCGATGATGGCCGGCCGTGGCATGCTCGGCGGCGAGTCGGCCTCCCACTTCATGCGGCCCAGGCGCACCACCGCCTTCTTCACGCCCGACCACATCATCTGCGCTCTTTCCGGCACCATCCGCGGTACGCACGACACACGACACACACAACGACACACACGGCACACGCTACACACCACAAACGACACGACACGACACGCGCGACGAGCGACACGACACGCGCGGTATTCATGAATGGAAAGGCAGTGATCTGGAAGGCGAGCCTGTGCGAGGGAACGGCGCCGCAGTTCGTGGACAAGTTGGCTTCTTCGGAATGGTTCCTCCACACGCAGGTGGTCTGCAGGCAAAGCTCGGCCGCTCTTCTGGTCACCCTGGCCGGCAACGAGATCCTGTGTTGGCAGTTGCCCGCCAAGGTGGGTGTGCTGTTGCGTGTGTGCGATGTGTGAGATGTGTGCGGTGTGCGCGGTGTGTGCGGTGTGTGCGGTGTGTGTGTGCGTCGGGAGTGCCGACGCGACAATGACCACCGCACACAGTGGCAAGAAGAGCTGGAGCTGCTTCACGGCCGGCCGCTGACCCATCCCAACCCGGAGGTGGTGTCTTACATTAGCGGCCTCTGCTGCGACAGGTTACCCCCCCCCCACACCACCACCACGCATTGGGTGAGCTAACAACCGTGTTTTAACGCGCACCCGTCATGTCGTGTGCTCAAAATCATTATTGATTGCAGTCACCGAGTGCTGCTCTCGTACGTCGTGCCGGAGGCGATCGACACCTCCTCGTGGAATTGCCGCAGGGTCCGTACTCCCCTCCCCATCCATGATGCCAACGATGGCGATGATGGCGGTGCTGATGATGGCAATGACGATGGTGACGATGGTGGTGATGATGGTGATTGTCGCTTCTTGTTCAATGGGCCCTCTGCAGCTGGCAAAGTACGAGGTGGCGGTGTTCTCGCTGGGCCGGTGGAGCCTGCACAGCCGCCTGCCGCTCAGGGAGGAGGGCCAGGGCCGACCCCATTTGGAGGACCAGGTGGTGGACATGATGTCGCTCCCGCGCGGCCGTGCGGCGCTCCTGACCAAGTCGGTCATGTGGGGCCGCAAGGACCTGTCCACTCTGCAGCACACCGTCACTTTCCTGGACCCACGCGCCCCGACTGCACAAGCGGCGAAGAAGACTCGGTGGTGACCGCACACGCGCACCGCACGCACCGCACACACCGCACACGAGTAGAGTACTGGGTGAAGTTGTATTGTTGTATTATGGGGATAAATTCGCAAGAGAGGCATTTAATCACTCCAGTTTGCTGATGAAGAAGACGATGGGAAGGAAGGCGATGAGGAAGGCGATGAAGATGAATCTAGAGCACGTAGTCCGCCGGGTGGTAGTACTCGGCCAACAACCGATAAATGTACGACGGGCTGTGCCCACCACTGCACAAAACAAAAATATAGTCAGTTATTAATTATCACTTGTTATTTGTTATTTGTTATTTATTTGTTATTTGTTATTTGTTATTTGTTATTGTTGTGTTGTGGGTGGGGTAGGGAGCGTGTACACGTTGGTGACGAAGAGGGAGACGAGCTCGGGCGGGACGTAGTCGTAGGCGGGGCTCTCGACGTGCAGCTGGTCGATGTCGGTCGTCTCCTCGAAGGGCATGATCGACCCGGGCGGGTTGTAGCAGTTGAACGAGTCCTGCTCGGCCGTCGGGTAGAGCGGACACAGCTTGTAGAGACCCATGCACACCACCACCGGCACCTATGACCCCATCACCACCTTATGTGAGCACGACACGCAACACGACACGCGACACGACACGCGTGGGGTGTAGGGTACGGCGTGGTGCTTGGCGGCGAGGGCGACGGCGTGGGAACCGGTGAAGGCGATGAGGCCGCCGTTGGCGAGCACGGCGTGGGTGCCGAGGATGACCTTGTTGGTGCGCGCCATCATCGCAAAGATCGCCGAGTCGGGGATGATCGTCGTCTCGATGCCCGCACGCGACAGCGAGGCCGCCGTCTCATTACCTTTTTCATTTGTTTTGTTTTGTTTTGTTTAGCACACGCGTGAACGACACGCGCCGCACACCGCACACACTCACTGCGTCGCACACAGCACACACACCGCACGTGCGATGGAGAGGTAGGTACCGGTGTACGAGGGCGCGGACTGGGCGACGATGACGTCGAACTTGCGCTTGCGGGCGGCGGCGATGAGGAACTCGGCCACGGTCTTCGAGAGGCCGAACGTCATGATCACCTCATTGCTGTGGATGTGTTGAATGGCCTGGCCCACGCAACGCAACATACATAGAAATGAGTGTGTGCGGTCGTGTGCGTGTGCGTGTGCGTGTGCAGTGTGTGCGGCCGACCTGATCGGAGATGTTGCGGTAGAGGTTGTTGATCTCGTCGATGAGCTCGCCCACGGAGGTCTGCACGACGGCCTTGATGTCGTAGGGCTCGGTGTAGACCTCGTCCCGGTCGTGCCCGAGCATCTTGTAGAGGGCGGGCGACGAGTGCGGGTCCAGCACGCGCGCGATCTCCTCGCTGCCCTCCTCCTGGTTCTCCTGGTACTGGCACGCCAGGTACTCCTCGCGGATGATCGACAGCACTCGCCGCACCACGTTCCCGATGGTCAGCTCTGTGTTGCGCGTGTGCGCACGCACGGGTAAGCTCACCGCACGCGCGCACAACACGACACGACACACGACGACACGCACGACACGACACACGCGGGGGTACCGAGGGGAGCGGCGCTGATGAGGAGCTTGCCGATCTCCTTGACACGCTCGATGACGGTCTGGGCGGAGGTCCAGCGCGAGGAGGAGACGACGACCTTCATGACCTCGGCCGTGGCGATGGCCACGCGGTAGGAGCCGGCCAGCTCGCGTCGGCGTAGCGAGTCGATGATGCACTTGAACTTGGTGTCGAAGCCCTTGGACACGATCGTGCGGCCGGCCTGATTTGTATTTGTATTTTTATGTTTGAGACAAATTAGAAAAATAAAACAATCATTATCATTGAATAATCGGAGTGAAGAGAGAAGAGGCATTTTTTTTTTTTTTTTTTACATCAAATCATGATCGATGCATGTTTCCAATTGAAGGAAGGGGTTGGAAACTAGTGAATGGAAAATGGAGGAGGTACCTGGTGGGTGTGAGTGGTGATCATGTCGGATTGAGCCAGGGCACTCAATTCGCCGGGGCGCACCTTGCTCGTGCCCAGGTCGCCCAAGAAATCGTCGTCAGACATGGTGCAGAGTGTAGGTGCGGTGATGATTTCGACAATTGAAGCCAAAATCGAATGTGTAAGAATTTATTCTTGTTTTATTGTAAGCCTGCGCAAATCGTGCACGGTCAGCAAACAAATTTCCAGACTTTTCTTTGGTGCTTTTCCTCTTGCTACTCCACTTATTCGATTCTACCAATTACCTCTACTCATCTGATCTAGAAGCATGTCGTACGTGCTGTAGTTCCTGCTCTCTTCCACTCAATCTAATTGACTGATTCCTTTTGTGATTCGAATCGCCCCCTAATGTACAAAATTGCATCGTTTTCTCTTCTACTCTACTTACCACAATCGCATTGGCAGGTCGCCTGCCCGTGCCGACGCTAAGGAGGCCAGATCCAGCCGCTCGCCGGCTGCGCGCAAATCCTCCAAGTCGAGGTCCAGCAGGCCGCGATCGAGGTCCCCTTCGCGCTCTCACTCATCTTCTCGTTCCGCCTCTAGGTCCAGGTCGCGCTCTGGCTCCCGGTCGTCGAGGTCGAGCTCCAGGAGCAGCAGCAGCCGGTCGCGATCGCCCAGCAGCTCGCGCTCGCGCTCCAGGAGCCCTCGTCGCGGCCGCAGCCGCAGCCCACGCCGCAGCCCCGCTCGCTCGCCCAGGTACTACTCGCCGCACACGCCGCACACGCCGCACATGCACTCACCGCTGCGTATGCGTGTGCGCAGGCGGAGGAGTCCCTCGCCGCAGCCAAAGAAGCTGCACGTGGGCAATCTGACGCGCAACGTGAACGAGGAGCACCTGCGGGAGATCTTCGGCCAGTGGGGCAAGCTGCTGAGGGTCGAGCTCGGCTGGGACCGTCGCATCGACCAGCCCAAGGGCTTCGCCTATGTAGAGTATGACAAGTACGCCGACTCGGTCGAGGCCCTCAAGCGCATGGACGGCGTACGCCATTCTTACCACCAGCATCGACGACCTCAGCACAATCTTCTGATTGGTCTTCTCACGTGTGTGGTGTGTGTTGTGTGTGTTGTGTGTGTGTGTGTGTCGGGCTTCAGGGCCAAATTGATGGCAACGTGGTGAAGGTGCAGGCCATCCTGCCGCCCAGGCGACGTTCGCCCGGCCCGTGGTCGCGAGGCCCCGGACCCTACCACGGCCGATCGCCGCCTCGTGGCGTCGGCGGCTTCCGGGGCCGACGATCGCCCCCTCGCGGCGGCGGTCGCTTCGGCGGTGGCGGTGGCCCGCGTGGTCGCGCCTACTCGCCCGCCGGCGGTCGCTTTGGCGGCGGCAGGCGCAGCCCGCCGCGCGGTGGCATGCGTGGTCGCTCGCCGTCGCCGCCTCCGCGCGGTGGCCCGCGTGGTCGCTCGCCCTCGCCGCGCTACGGCGGCGGTCGCAAGAGGCGGTCCTTCTCGCGCTCGCCCAGCCCGCCCAGGAGGCGCAACTTCTCGCCCCGGAGCAGATCGCCCTCGCCCATGCGTCGCGGCAGGTACCAACCCCGTGTGTGTGTGTGTGTGTGTGAGTGCGTGTGTCGTGTGTGGCCGGCGTACCGGTGTGTCGTTCGTGTTCTGGTGGTTTGTTTGACTTGTGTTTGATACCAACTTGCGAGATTGACTCTTTTCCCTACGTGTATACATGTAGGAGCAGGAGCAGGAGCAGGAGCAGGTAAAGCTGCACAACTACAGCCAGCAGCGGTAAAGGAATGCGTGCGCATTTCAAGAAACAGGAAACAAAGAAAAGGAAAACAATATTGAAAAACGCCAACACCTTTTATCTGGGATCATCGACCAAGTCTGCAGACCAAACCAACTTGCCTGCAACGAACGCGAACCAACAAACCTTGACCTGCACCACAACGAGAAGGCCACCCCACATACCATGGACGCCACGACCAAAGTGCAGTTGCTTGCGCTCACCGCCGCTGCAGGCGCCTCGTTGGCCTCCTTCTGGCTGGCTAAATCTCAGGCAACGCAATCTTCATCTTCATCTTCATCTTCATCTTCTTCATCGACGAAGAACAAGCTCGCCAGCGAACACTTTGCGCCGCCGTTCGTGGGTGCGCTCGACCAGGGCACCTCCAGCACCCGCTTCATCGTCTTCGACTCACGCACCAACATCGTCGTGTCGCACCAGATGGAACTCCCACCGCTCTATCCGCAGCCCGGGTACACCATAGCCAACTATTGTTTATTTATTTATTTATTTATTTATTTGTTCTTATTGCCCCTAACTGGCGAGCAATAGTGTATTCTTATTTCTCGATTAAATGAATTAACTGTTTCTTATTTCCCTGTATTTATTGCAACAAATAAAATTAACAAAAACAGGTGGGCGGAGCACTCGGGCGAGGCCATCCTCCGGCAGAGCGAGGAGTGCATCGCGGGCGCCGTGGCCAAGCTGGAGGCGCTGGGCTACGCCGCGTCGGACATAAAGGCCGTCGGCATCACCAACCAACGCGAGACCACCCTCGTGTGGGACCGCATCACCGGCGTCCCCCTCTACAACGCCATCGGTACCCCCACCATCACCTGCGTGCGTTGTTTGTGTGTGTGTGTTGTGTGTGTGTTGTGTGTGTTGTGTGTGTTGTGTGTGTTGTGTGTGTTGTGTTGTGTGTTGTGTGTTGTGTGTTGTGTGTGTGTTGTGTTCAACAATTCTAATGGCACGCACACGCACGATCGCACGCGTGCGCATGTAGTGTGGCTGGACAGCAGGACGCACGCGATTGTGGAGGAGCTGCTGCAGCAGGAGAATTTCCAGGCGGCGGGCAAGGACACGCTGCGGCCCGTCTGCGGGCTGCCGCTCTCGACCTACTTCTCGGCCACCAAGCTCGTGTGGCTCATCAAGAACGTGCCCGCCGTGCAGCAGGCCATCCAGGACGACCGCTGCATCTTCGGCACTGTCGACACCTGGCTCATCTGGGTACGCGCTCACCGACAGGTGTCGACAATCGGTGTCTCAGCCACGCTCACGCACGACCGCACACGCGCACACACGACCGCACGCGCACAACACAGAATTTGACGGGCGGCCCGAATGGCGGAGCGCATGTGACGGATGTGACGAACGCGAGCCGCACCATGCTCATGAACCTCAAGACCCTCCAGTGGGACTCGTCCGCCTGCGAGTACATTCCACATTCCTCTCTCACTGCATTCCACATTCCACACGCCATTCCGCATTCCATACTGACACGCCTTTTGGTGGCGCCCCCTAGGGTGTTTGGGATTCCGATGTCGATCCTTCCCCGGATTCGTAGCTCGGCCGAGGAGTACGGCCACATCATTTCGGGTCCGCTCGCCGGCGTGCCCCTCACTTGCGTACGCGCCCCAGAACTATTTTGTTATTGTTATTGTTATAATAGCCACCTTAACCTCCAAAGTTAGATCTGACGTAGCACTCACTCACTCACTCAACACGTGGATGGCGTGCAACAGTGTTTGGGCGATCAGCAGGCGGCGCTGGTGGGCCACATGTGCTTCGCGCGGGGCGAGGCCAAGAACACGTACGGCACGGGCTGCTTCCTCCTGGTCAACACCGGCGAGGAGATCGTGCACAGCAAGCACGGCTTGACCACCGTCGGGTACGTACACGCACACGCACACGCACCACAGCACACGCAACACGCAACACGCAGCACGCAACACGCCACACAGCACGTGCTGACGGTAGAGGCGAAATTTAGTTATCAATTGGGGCCGGCGGAAGCGCCGCACTATGCGCTCGAAGGCGCCGTCGCGATGGCGGGCGAGGCGGTGAGATGGCTCCTGCAGGACATGCAGCTCATCTCGTCCTACTCGGAAATCGGTACTGTTTATCTCGGCCAATCACCATCCCCCGATTAAACTGCAACTAATCAACCGCAATTGGCGAATGAACACAAATCAGAGCCGTTGGCTGGGTCAGTGGACGACGCGGGCGGAATGTACTTCGTGCCGGCCTTCACGGGCCTCCTGGCGCCCCACTGGCGAAGTGACGCTCGCGGGTACTCTTCACTTCTCACAACACAACACAACACAACACAACACAACACAACACAACACAACAAGATGGCTGGTGGTTGGTTAACAACGGATCAGGGTGGCAGTGGGGATGAGCTCGACGACGAAGCGTGCCCACTTTGTGCGGGCGGTGCTGGAGGGCGTGGCGTTCCAGACGTGCGAGGTGCTGGAGGCGCTGACGGAGGACTCCGACCTGCGGCTCAAGTCGCTGAAGGTGGGCGGCGGCATGGCCGTCAACGACCTCTTCCTCCAGATCCAGGCCGACCTGCTCGGCATCGAAGTCAGTGCGAACCCCTTCCCTCCCACTCGCATGTTATCATACACACCGCACACGACACACGACACACGACACACGACACACGACACACGACACACGACACACACTCACACGACACACTCACACACCGCACACGACACACAGCACGCGGACCGACGGTGGAGACGACGGCGCTGGGCGCCGCGGTGGGTGCGGGCCTGGCGGTGGGGGTCTACTCGCGCGAGTTCCTGACCGAGCTGCACGCCCACGCCGAGACTGGGTTCGAGCCCAGGATGGAGCCCGGCGTGCGCCAGGAAAAGGCCAAGGGCTGGGTCAAGGCTGTGCACAAGTCCTTTGGTTGGGTTGATGGCCAAGCAGTGTAGTATGACCAAACATGTATTTAGTCCCACTACACTTTTTCTTGTTCCTTTTGCCCTACACACCTTCTCTGTCCATCCTCCTGTCTGTATGCTCAGAGGCACTCACAACACAGCCTGGTGGTGCTGTGTGGGTGGTGCCAGTGTCTTTGAGAGAGGTCTGGTGCTGTGCAGCCTTGCCACAGTGGGACAGGAGCAAAGTTCTGTACTGACCACCCAGATGTGCATGTGCCTCTCCAAGACTGGCCTTGCCCCACCAAGCACAACGCAACCTTCAACCACTTTTATCTTTGGTGTTTATGCCTGATTGGTCCGCCGGAAAAGTTTGCCCCGCCCTGCAACAGGCGATTGTAGATTGCCCAATCGTCGCCTGCAGAACAGCGGAGCTGCAACATCCGTCCATATCCGGATTGCCAGAAAGTGCATGACCGCCGGCGACAGGATGATCCACCATTGCGGACAATTGCGGCTCCACCAATCAACCAGCTTGGTCTTCTTCGCAGAGCATTCGACAACAGTAGCACTCAAACACTCCAACCTCCCCAACACAACACACAACCACACAACAACGACAGTGTGCGACACTGCTCCCTCCCAACACCACCACCACCCTCATGGCGCTCACATCTCTACTTGGCCGCCGTTCGCGCGGCTGCATCCCCGACCTCAAGCCTCCGCCGGCGCACTCAACGGCGCCGCTGGGGGGGAGTGACGAGACGACTGAATCGATAGAAGAGGAAGACTTCCGCAAGGCCTTCCTCCATCTTTTCATCATGATCCACTGCGCGGGGTCGAGCGTGTTGGCACTGCTCCAGATCGCCTTCGAAGACTACTCCTTCGCCTCCGCAGCTTCGCTCATTCTCAGCATGGCCACCGCCGCGCTGCTCTTCATCTGCCTCTACCACCCGCTCACCTTTTCATCTACTTCTACATCATCATCTTCTTCATCTTCTTCTTCATCAACTTCCAGCACGGGTGGCGTGGACTTGCGTGTGGGCCTCTATGCCTACTGCGGCCTGCTCGACGTGGTGATGAGCGGCGTCGTGCTCACCGACCCCCAGGAGCGCGACGTCTACATGTGGTTCCTCGCCATCCCCTTTCTCTTCCTCCACGCCCGCGGCGTGAGGTCGTGCGTGGTGGCGCTCGTCGCCGTCTGCGTGCAGACCACAGTCCTTCGCTATCTTCGGCGACACTACGACTGGTCTACGACTGGACATGCACCACCCACGTTGCGAGAGACCATCATCGGTACACCGCACCTTTGTGATTCACCTTGACTCGGAACACGACTGTGACTGACTTGGCGTTTGTGTGTCGTGTCGTGTCGTGTGTGTCGCGTGTGTGTGTGTCGTGGTGTCAACAGGGGAAACGTACTGCGATTGTTTCTTGTGGATACTGCTCACGACGCTCACGGCTTGCCATCACCATGCTCGAGTGCAAGCGACCAATCGCCTGCGCGCCGCGATCAAGGAAAAGGAGGCCATCAACTGCGAACTGCGGCGGGCCATGCAGGCCAAGTCCGAGTTCCTGGCCAACATGTCTCACGGTACGCAGCCCATCACCACACGCCACCGTACAACACACACTGTCACACACACACACACACCCACCACAACTCACAGTCGCAAAATGCAGAGCTGCGCACGCCAATGCACGGCATCGTCGCAATGAGTCGCGAGCTCCAGGACACGACTGAACCCTGCTCGAAAGTGCACGACGCGGTCGACGTCATATCAAGTAGATTTCCTCTCTTTCTCTCTGTTCTCTCACTCAGTGCTGACCACGTGTCGTTCTTCGCAGCCTGCGCGGAGCATTTGCTGTCGCTCGTGAGCGACATTCTCGACTTTGAGCGCGTCGAGTCCAACAAGCTGCAGCTCGAAAACATACCCTTCTCGGTGGCCACCGAGGCCCAAAAGGCCGTACGCCTGCTCCAGCTCACCGCCGGTACCCGCCTTCTCACCCATGTCACCACTCTGCTACCAGTCGTGCCTGACGTGTTGTTGTTTGTTTGTTTGTTTGTTTGTTTGTTTGTTGATCGATTCAGACAAGAAGGGCATCAGCCTCACATTGCAGAACGAGGTGGCCCACCCGTGGCGCCGAGGCGACCCACTCCGGTGCCGTGTTCCCGATTGCTAAGTGTGTGTGTGGTTCGATTGAGGTTGACCGGCGCGCCGTGGCACACACAGGTTCCGGCAGGTGCTGGGCCACATCCTGTCCAACGCCGTCAAGTTCACACCCAGCAAGGGCTCTGTGTCTGTGCGCCTACGCAACGACGAAAACAACCCCGTGACGGGGGTGATCGCGTCCGTGACCGACACCGGCACCGGCATTACGCCAGACAACCTGCAGCAACTCTTCACTGTACGAATTACTCTCGTGTGGTGTTCCAAGTTGGCAACTTTCACACACACTCACACACGACACACACACTCACACACATGACACGACACACACCACACACACGACACACACACCATCATACTGCAGCCTTTCTCGCAGCTGGACTCGTCGATCGGCCGCAAGTACGGCGGCTCGGGTCTCGGGCTGGCCCTCAGTGGACGGCTGTGTCGTGCCATGGGCGGCTCGATCGAGTGCGAAAGCCAGCTCGGACATGGCTCCACGTTCACGTACGCCCACCCACCTCTCCTCCGTTCTGTGCAGTGCGGCCGCCACTTCATGAAGAGTTACGTTGATGTTTGTTTCCCGCCAGGTGCCGGTTTGCTCTGCCGGTTGTGCCGCAGGAAGACCGCAGGAGCGCAGGCGCCACCGTGACAGCGGGTGCACTGCCCCGGCCGGCTGATGGAGCACAGCTGAGTGCGGGCTTTGACCACCTCCATGTGCTGTTGGTGGAAGACAACGCCATCAACCAGAAGGTGGGCCTGCGCATGCTCACGCAACTCGGCTGCAAAACAAGGGTTCGCCGCAACCTCCACACAAGGTTCGAGTTCGATTTGATGATCTTGTGCTGATCGACGCCGACTATCATTAGGTGGCGTCGAACGGGGAGGATTGCCTGAAGCTGATGACGCAGAGCTCAGACCGCGAGAGCCCCTTCGACATTGTTCTCATGGACTGTCAGATGCCCGGTACCTAACTTTTGGCTGTTTTTCCACCACTGGGATGGCTCACCGACTCTTGACTCTGTTTTTGTTGTTGGCCGGCTCAAGTCATGGACGGGTTCGAGGCCACCCGGCGCCTCCGAAGCATGGGGGCGCAGCGGCACGGCAGGCCGCTCACCATAGTGGCCCTGACCGCTTCCGCGACCAAGGTACTGTGTTGCTCACCACCTCATCAGCAGCAGCGGTGCAGTGTACCACCAACACCTTATGTCTGTCTGCTGATCTGTTGATGTTGGGTGCTCGCGAGACACAGGAGTACGCGCAGCGGTGTCTCGAAGTGGGCATGTCCGATGTGCTGTTCAAGCCGCTGCAGCGTGAGGACCTTGTGGCCACCCTCCGCAAGTGGACAGCCACCCAACACCACCAGCTCGCCGAGACCAAACCTACTTCGACGTAGAGGACTCATCAAGAGCCAGTGCTGGGGTAGATGCGGTGACCGTGGCTAACCCGACTTCAATCTTGATAAGTCTTAGTCAAGATCTTCTTGGGCTGGCTAGAGCTTTGGGGTGGGTTCGTTATTTGCAGCTTTTCTATTCTCTGCTTTTCCACAAAGCTCCTCTCGAGAGGGAGGGGCGAGATGATGATGCCAAGCGAGAAGAGCGGGGAGGGCGAGTTCCGGGTGGGCGAGAAGAGCGAGAGGGTGAGGGCTTGGGTCGAACTGGTAGAGAGAGGTAGAGGGAGTTGCTCTCGACGTCCCCGTCACAAAATCTCAACATCTCCGTGCAGACTTTCATGGCTCCCAACTTCAGGCTGGACGACTACAGCTTCCAAATGTACACACACACACTCTCTCTCAATTCCACTTGTTTGTTCTCAAGTTGCTATTAAGTTGTGTGATGCTGTGCAGCAGCTGCCATCTCGAGTAGAGCAGGTCGCCCAAGTCGGCAGCCGCGGTGCGGTACGCTGCGCAGCCGCCAAGCGGGGGAGGAACCACCACCGCTACGGGTGATGTTTCTTGCGAGGGTGACCACGGTTGAACCCAAGCGGACGGCAAGGAGCGTCAGCAAGAGCAAGTCGCACTTGTTGGGAACGAGAAACAAAAAAGTAGTGCACGACGGCGGGCGTGCGTGTGCTCCCAAACCGTTTTCGTGCTTGGCGCCAAACGTTCTCTGTAAATGAATCAGTTGCCGGCAGAGAGCCAGTCGACGGTGAGCTGGAGGAGCGGCAGCTTGCGCTTGGGCACGTCGCCAGCGAGAACACCCCGGCGCCGCAGCATCTGCCGGAGAGTGAACACGTCGAGCTTGGCGTCGTCCTTGAGCTTGGCCAGTCGGCGCACCTCGGCCTCCAGCTCCTTCTCCTCGCGCTTTTCTGCCGACGCCTCCTTCTGCTTCTGCTTCTTCTTCGCGGGCTTGGTCTTGGCGTCGTGGTCATCATTCTTTTCGTCGTCGTCGTCTTCGTTCTTCTTCTCTTTGTCCTCTTTATCTTCGTTTTCGTTTTCGTTGTCGTTTTCGTTCTTTTTCTTGTCGGCCTCGCTGGTGCTCTTTCGCTTCCGCTTGCCAGGGCGGTGCGTGGTGACGACTCGCGACGCTTTGTTGGCGTACTGACGCGCGAGGCTCAAGGCCGTCATGCGCATGCCCTTGGTTTTGACGTCAGCGCGTGCGCCACATTCCAAGAGACATCGCGCCATCTCCTCGTAGTTGTACAGCACTACAGCTCATAGACAGCACACAACACAACACAACACAACACACACAACACACACAGTACACACATCACATATCACATATCACATGTCACATAGCAAACGCAAGCAAGCGGAGGTGCGTGTGACAGTACCGGCGTGGTGCAGAGCTGTGCACAGACCGAGATCGCAACCACTGCCGAATGCGAAGTTGATGTCGACGCCGTGATCGACGAGGAAGCGGCACACGGCGACGTCGCCTCGCTGCAGCGCGGGCGAGGTGAGACACTCGCGCCACACGCCTGGGCCGAGGGCCGGCGCCAGGTGCTGCAGCATCTCCATAGATGGACGCTCAGCTGCATAAATGATAGGAAAAAAAAAATATCAACATTACACATTCCATAAATGCCAATCAGACGGTGCCCACAGATAGATGACGTCATCAAGTTGCGTGCGCGCACCTCGGGACAGGGCGGTGACCATGTGCCGACCCTGCAGAGTCGCCCCGTGCCGCTGCAGCAACTGCACGATTGCAAGGTTGCCCGAGCTGATCGCAGATTTGATCGGGTCGCTCACCCACGCATGCATCGGCCTACGTAGGTTGGCGTGTGCGTGTTATGTTGTGCGTGCGTGCGTGCGCTTGTGGGGAAAAGAGTACT